GATTTTTGTTTGTTATCCGCTATGTCGTGAGAGCCATTGGTACGTTTGGTACGGTCCGCCGCCCAGTCAGCATAGTATCAAAATATTGTGGTTGTTCGGGTTACAGGCGCATCCCCATCCGAAGGACCTCTCTGCAAATTAAGTGTTAACATCTGTTTGAGTTACAAATTGTTAAAAGGCGCCCGGGTGAATCCCGGCCCGCCGGTTGAATCCCACGCGCTCTTTGGCACCAGTCAGTTTGACCCCGTCCCGGATATCCAAATACCCGTTCTAAGTTAAGTATCACTGGTGTTCATTTGGGGTTAGTGACGTTGTTTGGCCTGGAGAAGGGCATGGTAACCAAAAACCTACGGAATTGTTTTAATTTTGGAACTTGAACAACCGTCTCGAAATACGCTAAGCGGGGTGTTCCTAAACGCAAAAGGACGATCTGGGCCATTTAAGGTCAGTAACGGCCTGTAAAAAATCCAAGGGAGCCGTCTGTTACCGTCCCTATTATCACGAAATTCCAAATGAGCATCAGAAACTACTTCTTGAAGGGAGTGTTCCTTATTCATATGGGTTTTTGAGCTGAAACAGCCATCTGGAAGATCATTCGCTCCATCTTACAGTCCTGTCCCCTCTGAAGACCTAAGCCCTCTAGTTTCTGAGCTACTCGCTCGCGAAGATGTGCAGACTATTTCGTGCAGACTAGTTAAGGTTAATTAAGGCATGCGTTACGCCATAGGAATGCCATTCAGACTCTGCCACCCCATTAGCCATTCAGAGTTGGCCAAGAAGAATGCAGTCGTCGAACAGTCGGTATTTTGTCAGTCAGTCAGCATTTTGCGTTTGTGATTACAGTCCCCTGACAGACACCTTAAACTCACGGATACCTTTACAAGAACACAAGAAAGGGCCACAACACGATGTTATAAAAGTATTTCGTTCAGCACTTTCAGCACCGCCATGTTCAGCAACACCCTCAGCACCGCCATGGCCACCTTTTGGGAGATTGAAACACTACAGGGCAGCACTAAGGTGACAATTTCGCACGGCCAGTGTGGCAGCACCTCAGAATCATACATCCGTGACGCAATCAAATAATGACGTATTGAGCATCACATTTACCCAATAATGAAATTATACTGTCTATAGCAGTCTTCCGCTTAAGAGCATACTAAGAGTTGTACGTAAGTTAAGTACGAGTAAGTTATAATAAGCTTTCTATATCATACTGACGTTTGCCTCAACATATTCAAATGTGGAACATTCCGATGGATGAGGCAGTGTTAATGTTAATAGTCTTATTCCTCGTAGCATAAATGGGAGAGTGGAGAGATAAATGTGATAGTTCGGCTACATGCCTTTATCGAAACGAATATCAGTTGTAAATTCAAATTTGTCATTTCGGCAATTCAAAAAGCATTCACTTATTCATTCAAAAGGCAATTTGGGCACCAAAAAAGCTTTTTTGAATTCACCATTGATATTCGTCTTGACAAAGGCATGTATCCGAAATATCACATCTATCGTCCGTTCTTTTGTTTCTTCTACGAGGAATGAGGTTATTAATGCTAGCTCATCTGCATGCATGACGTTCCTCGCAAGTGCACTTAACAACCTTCGTAATTATGGAACTTTCCCTTTAAAGAGTTATTCAGTAAAAGGGCAGATTGGTCTGACCTCGGTCCGCTCTTCATGCCTTACCCAAGGTCAATTGATTTTTTTGTGATCCTAGAAGATGTTATTGTGTAAGTAACTATCCAAGAGATGTATGGCTTGGTCTAACACTCCGTTGTTGCATCAGATCTTACGATTCCCTTGGAATTGGCGCAGCTGACAGGCACGGACCGATTTTGACCAGTCATAGGCTAGCGACCATACAAGGTGCATATTACTTTGTATGATAAAAGGCCCCGCTATGGAAAAGCCTACAGATATCCAAATTTGGTGCGGCTATGATGGGCTGTTCGGATTTTTCTAGAAAAAAACATGGGTGGATCATATAACCCCCACCCGAGTGCGCGTCAAGTCCTTTTGTAGTGTGTTCCTGTTGCGATTGCTTTAAACTCGCTTCCGCGTCCTTTTCCCCAAAGCCTATTCAATGTTCCGTAAGTTGAACTGTTGTAGCAACTGCGTCAACATGCCGCATGTGGTTGCCGACGATTCTAAAGAAGCGTTTATGTGACACTGCCCTTACAGTGCCCGGCAATGGCAGAAGTGACATGGCCCATACGTACGTGTGCTTTTTGGGATTCTACCTGAACTGATTGATTTCGTTGGCTAGAAGTCGATGCGCCCCAATTACGTCATCAGCATTGTCACCACAGCCATCATCATCCTCATAATCATCATTTAAGGTCGTATTTCCGCGTTCTCTGTACCGTTATATCGGTCCGTCGGCGTAATCATTAACGCTGGCCCTCGGTTAGAAAACAAAAGTGTCTCCATCACTGTATTTTGCATGAAGGCAGTTACCAAACAGATCCCAAAGCAAACCGATTGAAGCCGCTGTGCAGAGCTTCCGCCAGGACACCGAACAGTTTGTGCAGCCCGAACTGAGAGAGTTGGAAGGTATGGCTAGGACTCATCATCCTCTAGGCCTTGCCGGTCGCGTTCTCGCCCTCCGCGGCATTTTCGTCTTCCACGCAGCCTTTCATGGTGCAGGCCATTAGGCCGGTGGTGGTGCAAAAACACTCATTGCACAGTTCCATCCAGGTGGAGCCGGGCGTACACTCCATGTCGGCTTGGTCGCGCGCCGCCGGGTCGGCCATGGCGTCCGCCGCCGCCGCCGCTGCCGCCGCCTCTTCCTGGCCGGCGCAGGTGCGGTACTCACAGTACCAGAGGCCGTCGTCGAGGCAGGCGCACTTGCTGCACGTCTCAGGCTCCTCCCAGCTGTCGCCGGCGGCGCAGTCGCCGTGGCCGGTTTGAGTGGCGGCGGCGCGCTCGTCATACTCGGCTGCCGTGAGACGCGTGTCGCAGGTGGCCCGGCCTGCCGGGTCGCACTTACACGTGGTGTTGGTGTCTGGCTGCCACATAGTGCCTGGCTGGCATGCGGCCGCCGCCCAGGCGGCTGAGGCCATCGCCAGCACACAGGCCAACTGCAGGCAATGCATGATGGAGAGGTGGCGGCGCAGCAAGGGAAACTGGCCGTGACTGGGGCGTGGGCAGCTTTATACGCCGGGCGAGAGGTGCGGGGTGGCACGGACAGGGAGGAGCACCGGACGCCGATGAAAGGTGACGCTCAGATGCGGACCGGGCGGTGCCACCGCGGCAATTACCACCACCACGAACAATGTGTTTTGTGGAATGCTGTTTGCCATACCACGGCCGACTCTGTTGGACCACCTGTGACGATCAGAGTGGCGCTTTGTGGTGCGACTAGCTCTGTTCCCAACGCCTCCAACTAGAGCAGGAACGAACTGTCGGTTTTTGGAATTGTGGGCCGCAGTGGGACCGGGTCGAAACGGGCAGAATACACCGGCCTCAATCAGCCGGTGGAATTCCAGTGACGCATGGCTTTGCGCTGTGATGGATGGGGTGTAACCAGGCACTGCGTTTCGTCTGTTGATTTATTGCAGGCGCGAGTGGCTTAGGCACAGCGGTGGCGCATGACGCACCTCCTGTACGCGCTCCACGGAATTACACGGCAGGACATGCGTGTTGGGTCAAGGCGCGATGATGTAAATGCTTCTACAGGCGACAAGCAGTCCTCATTCTGAGCATACCAGCCCTTTCCAGGATTTGCGGGAACGTCCGCCCCGTCATCACCGCCACCCGGTGCCACTTCGCTCTGTTCCCACCACCACTACTACCATTTGTTGCCACCACCAAATGTCACTACCCTCGCTCGGTGACCCCCACCCCCACCCGCACCATCACCACACGTCACTGTCCCTGCCTCATCACTAGCACCACTTATCGCCTCCCCCGCTTTGTCTCCAACAGTGACCTGTAACCATCCTCTCCGTTACCATGAGCACCCGTTACCAATGTCGGCCGAGTTAGTAGCAGCGCGTTACCCTGAGTACCCGTCAACAGTGTCAGCCGAGTTACCAGCAGCGCGATCCCTGGGCACCCGTCTCCAGTGTCGGCCGAGTTAGCAGCGGCGCGATCCCTGAGCACCCGTCACCAGTGTCGGCCGAGTTAGCAGCAGCGCGATCCCTGGGCACCCGTCTCCAGTGTCGGCCGAGTTAGCAGCAGCGCGATCCCTGAGTACCCGTCACCAGTGTCGGCCGAGTTAGCAGCAGCGCGATCCCTGAGCACCCGTCACCAGTGTCGGCGGAGTTAGCAGCGGCGCGATCCCTGAGCACCCGTCACCAGTGTCGGCCGAGTTAGCAGCAGCGCGATCCCTTAGCACCCGTCACCAGTGTCGGCCGAGTTAGCAGCAGCGCGATCCCTGAGCACCCGTCACCAGTGTCGGCCGAGTTAGCAGCAGCGCGATCCCTGAGCACCCGTCACCAGTGTCGGCCGAGTTAGCAGCGGCGCGATCCCTGAGCACCCGTCACCAGTGTCGGCCGAGTTAGCAGCAGCGCGATCCCTGAGCACCCGTCACCAGTGTCGGCCGAGTTACCAGCGGCGCCGGCTGCGGCGGCGGTCCTGGTGACGGCGGCCGGCTGTGTCGGCAGACTCTCCGGCCGACCTCCACGGCATGTGGTACCCGACCGTGCGGCGCACACTGCTCTGCCTCAGCAAGCTGTACCGCTGCACCGAGCGCGGCGTGTTCCAGGGCCTCTCGCAGGAGGCGCTCGCCATGTGCGTGCAGAGCCTGCAGAACGCGGCGCGTGCCATCGCCGAGACCAAGGTAGAGGCACGCGGATGACACGCCTGCGGCCGCGGGGGAGCGCCACGGGGTGCGGGCGTGTGCGGGGTGTCACGGCGCTTTGATCAATCAGGTGTATACTCTGGATCTGTGGACTTTACAGCACTCCGCGACAGCTCGTCACTCAAGCCATGCGATCATGGCTGCACGTGTGTCGTAGTTTGAAGGCGGAGCGGCGTCGCCACTGCCTTGAAACAAGAGTGCAATCAGAGGTTAGATCTGGCACGTGCGCCTCAGTTGGGGATGATAGCCGCCCTGATCCGGTTGCAGTCGTTGCGTGATGCCCAGCTGTTCGAGGTGAAGCACTTGCTGATTCTTCGTGAGCAGATCGCGCCGTTCCACGTGGACTTCTCCGTGCGTGAGATCAGTCTGGACCTCAGCAAGATCAAGACCGCTGGTAAGTGGTGCTCCTGGTGGTAACTAACGCATCGATTGTCCACTTGTTTGGATGCTCGGTGCCAAGTATGTCTCCCTATTTAGTTACCAGCTCCCACGGTACATTTGCCACTTGTGATGGCAATATAATGTAGATAAGACAGTAGTAGTAGCTTTATTCCTCGAAGAAAAATCAGGAGAATGGAGATATAGATGGGTTGATGTTTCGGCAACACGCCTTGATCGAAACAAGAGCAGAAGTTAATTGCAATATAATGTTGTGCTTTGGAAGATCAGCATGCTGACTGGCCATCGATATTATATGTTGACGCGCAAATTTCTCTACATATTTTTTTCTGAACGCTCCGTTTCCCTCATGAAAATACCAGATCGTACCTCACGGTTGTGGGTAGTTGACCTGGCATTTAAATATGTAAAGAGTTGATGTTTTGTGTAAGTTGTTAAGTGCATTTACGAGAAGCATTACACACATGGATAAGACAGTAGTAATAGCCTTATTCCGCGTAGAAAAAAAAAACGAGGAGGATGGAGATGTGGATGCGTTGATATTTCGGCAACACGTCTTTATCGAAACGAGAAGCAGAAGTAAATTCAAAATTGCCTGCTGATGATCCTACCCGATTTTTCAGGGTTTTCTTTTTAAAACAGCGAGCCATAGTTTTTGCAGGTACCCAACATTCGGGGGATTAAACAAGGAGCAGTGGCCAGCCATTACTACGATACGGTGTATAACTAAGAATATGATCACGCGAAAAAATACGTGTACACAAATTCGTTTACATGTACGCGTATTTCTCGCGTGATCTTATTCTTAGTTAGATATACACTGTATCGTAGTAACGACTGGCCACTGGTCTTTGTGTAATCCCCCGAATGTTGGGTACATGTAAAAACTATGGCCCACTGTTTTAAAAAGAACCTGGAAAATTGAGTAGGATCATCAGCAGGCAATTTTGAATTTACTCCTGCTTTTTGCTTCGATAAAGGCATGTTGTTGAAATATCAACGCATCTATATTTCCATTCTCCCGTTTTTTTACGGGGAATAAGGCCGTTCCTGCTGTTTTATCTATGAGTCAATTTATTCCTTAGCCATCGTTGAACATTGACGAGTATTGCTTTTCCTGGTTCGAACCCTGTTGTGCTTGCCACAGTGCGCCAAATAGGTTTTGGTTAGCCAATACCGAGGCGATATACACCAAATGAAACTGTCCCGACAACGCACTTCTCAGCAGAAATCCCTATGTGACTTCAACGGGGGCACACCTTTAACGCTGGGACGGCCGCACGTGTGGCAACGGACATGAAAGATCGCATGCCTTACAACGCGTTAGTCGTTACATACCCAGAGCATGCACCAGGGGCGTACCCAAGCGTACCTAGCGTAGAGGCGCACCCTTTCAATGTGGACTCATCCGGCGACAATATTCATTTTAGAACTGAAGTGGCACATAGCGAAGCTAAGCGCCCAAACGCTAGTATGAGAGGCCCGCACTGTCCCACGGATCCCCAATCGATGCAGAGGCCCTCTGGCTGGCCTTGGAGGCGATGCCCAACGGGCGGGGGCGTCCTTATTGTGACCTACGGGGCGTGCTTCTGGCCCTTTGGCCTCTTGCCTTATGATTGGGCCCTTGATATTTTGGTCTCCAGGGGCTATTCGTCCCCTCTGCGGGCCTGCGCAAACAAAACCCGCGGTGAACTCGGGACACTTGCCGACACATGGCCCCCGGTTAATACCCTGGGCCCATGGCCGACACAGGGGCCTAATCATTGTTTCAGGGACCCAGTCCAGTGCAAATCATGGGTCCCGGCCTCGTCCTTGCTTGGGAAATGGAATATCATGGTTAGACAGACACGTAGCCATCTGTTCGGTGCTGGTGGTCTCTGGCCATGATAAACGCCTGCAATGTCTCAAGGGGTCCCCAAACGGTATAAGAAGCCCTCTGTGTAATATTTCAGGTCACGGTCCTACGGGCCGTGATCCTTTGTTTGACCTACAGCCAGCCCTTCGGGCCGCTATGCCCTCCAATCAGGTTCTTAATCGTCGGTTTCGGCGAACCCCGGGCACATCTTGGGGCCTCACTGAGCACTGCTCTTGGTCAACGCGGGACCCCTTGTCAATACAGGAGTCTCTGGTAGGCACTGTAGGCCCCTGACAGATGCGGTGGCTCAGATCGGTGTAAATCGCTGGCCCCAGTTTGGTCGTCGTTTTGAAAGTGGGCCCTCAGGCCCATCCGACACGGAGCCGACTGTACGGTGCTGGTGGTGCCAGACTCAGGTGCCAGTGTCAGTGCCAGTGTCAGTGCCAGTGTCAGTGCCAGTGCCAGACTCAGTGCCAGACGCTTATCGACTGAGGGGTTCCCCGAACGGCGCAATAAATCCTCTGACTGCCATCTGAGATCCCGTCCCTGCAGGTTGGGCCTCTGAAGAAGACTGTCTAGCCCATCGAGCCCTTAGTCCCCTCGATGAGGTCCTTGATCGTCGGCCCGGTGGGCTCTCCTGGACCTTCGGAATTAGGAAACTAAGGGGGGGGGGGGGGTCCTGGGACCCTTGTACCCCTCCTTCCGCAAGCGCCACTGGTGCTACATTTGGTTCAGTTTGCATGTGGTATGATATTCGGCACATAAAAATGATGGAAATGCAGGGCTTTCAAACGTCAATGCTCCGTTCTCTCCTAAATACAAACCGCCAACCGGGAGCCAGGACACCAGGACACCAGTGGTTCTTCCTGCGGACAGAGGATTGGAGGGATAGGCCTTCCCCCTCAACTCCGGGCAACATTGAACATTTGAACACTGAACAACAGCGCTATGACGGCGCATGGAGGGGAACGAGGTGCAAAGCATTGTCGCACAAATTTCGGGTACAAATCGAGTCACCCTCCCCGCCCTTTCCATTAATGTTCCACCGCTACTGGTTCTTTCCCGAGACAAAGATCGCACTATACATACAATACACTGCATAATACATACCAGCCTTCGTCACAATGAAATGATTTAAGATTCGAAATAGCATTCCCTGCGATGTGTTTAATACTTGATGCAATTTTTACTCATTATTCAGCGCTCAACCGTCATCGCATCTCCCTTAAAACGTCACACCGCCGCCGATGGCCGGTCCGCTAATTCACTGCAAAATCAGAATGGAAAAGTATATGTCTCACAATGATAAAAAGCACTGAAGTGACAAAAATAGACTGAAAATGCACATAAAACCACAAAAGCTTCACTTTCTTCGGAAGGGAGGTCTTTTAAGACCATGGAAATCTATCCCCGGTGACGTCAATCGGCTGAATCGTGCAAGCACGTTTAGAGGCATTGGGATGACGACGGCGTGGCCAAGACATTTTTTTCTAAAACCCTTCAAAGAAAGTTTTGGAATTTGGCTAATGTGACAGTTGTGGCTTAAAAATTTGGTTTATAATACTTTTGGTTTATCGTACCTTCGACGCATAAATATGATGAAGTTGGAGTGCTTTTCTAATAAAAAATCCGAAAAACACAACTTTGGCGGCAAGACGTGCTGAAGGACCTTCAGGTTTTTCAAGCGGACATCAGGGATCAATTCAGTTCTTGGCAGTCGGGCAGTCATGTCCGTGCCGCGCGTCAACGTCATTGCCACGTTACAAAGGCGTGGAACCTGTCTGAGCCTGGACGCTTTCCTCGCTTGTTCCCACGTTCGTTCTCTCCCGGTGTCTGCGGATTGGCAAGCAGCACCGTATCTAGCGCGGCCCCGCTCGTCTGCCTTTGTCCCGTGGCTCCATCGTCAGGCCTATCGCTCGGTGCCAGGCCGCACGGTGACGGCCACGCGCCCTGCCGGCAGCCATGGGCCTGGTGCAGCGGCGCTCGCAGCTGTTCGCGCTCAACTCGAGCAACGCGCTGCTGGAATTCCTGCTGGAGGGCACGCCGGCCGTTCAGGAGCACACGCGCGACTCAAAGCGCGAGGTGGACCTGCAGCTGAAGCGCGTGTGCGAGGCGTTCATCCGCGGCACGCAGCAGCTGCTCCAGCAGCCGGTGCACAGCGTCATTCTGAGGGTGAGCAGGCGGCCGGCAGTGGTGGTGGAGCGGCTGCCTGGTGGCTGGGCTGAGGCTGGCACGGAGTGAACGTGTGGTTCATGGTGCAGCAACGCTGGGTTGGCATATCTAGGGACTTGTGTTTCAGGGCTCCTGGGACCTGGAGTATCGTGCGCATTGTTTCATTTCCTGTGTTTAGTATTGTATGATGCGTCGATCGCTTTCTGACCACGGGCTTCGTTGTCGCGGCGAATCGAAGCGAAACTGCTGTTCTTTATGCAGCAATAGTAGCTACTGACGCCGGGTGCGAGCTCACTCCTCAAGAAGACAGAGTTAGATGCTTGACACCTGCTCTGTGACATTGTGGTCCAGTTGATGCGCTGGCTAGCTTTAGAGTGCGTCTGCCGTCCTCCAGATCGAAGCCGTTCTGGAGTCGGCTCCGGACCAGCCGCTGCCGCCGGCCGAGACGGTGGCCGCGGCCGTCACCGAGACCCAGCGGCTCATCAAGACCCACCTGCCCGACATACAGCAGAGTATGCAGCTCTACCTGGCCAACCGCGAGACAGAGTTCATCCTCTTCAAGCCCGTCAAGGTGAGGTTAGGTGGCCGAGCTCCTGATGTCAAGGCGTGCGTGTGTGCATGTTGCCGTTATTTGTGCGAGTGGGTGCGGATTGCACCACCCACCTGCCTATCCAGGTGAAGCGGATGTGGTACAGCATTTCATCCTTTTCAAAGTGCGGGAAGCGCAAGGTCCGGGGGTGGAGTTTGCTTTCGTTAAACTGTTAAGCTCATTGGGTGCGTCATTTTCAAACGTGTCAACAACAAAAAACAGAACGTGCTTATATATTGTTCAAACCATCGTACGTAGCGATGCATTTTTGCCACACGATACATTCAGTTCTGACATCGAGCCACCCGTGGCATTGTGCGGAGTGCCTGCCGCTCGACTGCCGACCGCTCCAGCCGGCTGGGCGGCCAGCTATCAACCCCGCTCAGCCCCGTCTCTGTCATGCGCAGGTGGGCCTGCTGCAGCGATTCCAGCGTCTGCAGGACATTATCATGCAACAGTACAGCGACGACGACCGCATGATCATCATGTGTCCGTCGCAGGATCAGGTCAGCGTGCTCGTCTCATCCTGTATGCAGCCGGCGCCGTCCTAGGGACCTCGCTGCCGGCGCCGCCGGCGGCGGCCGCGTTCGCTCCGTTGTTGCCGTTATCGTGTGCGGCGCGACGTGCTGCTGCGGCGCTGGTAAACGGCCGTCCCGATGCCTTCTGCGCCGCGCTTCTGCCCTGTCGCGCCGCCCTGCCGCGCTTCCGCGGGCTGACACACCCTGCCGAACGTTCGCATGGTCAGCTGTCGAAGCGGTGGCCGCCGCGCGGTCCGGCCGGTGGGCGGGCGCCTCTCCGCGCGAGGCCCTGCGCGTTAGGCGCGTGCGGGACCTCGCAGTCAGTGCCCAGCGCTGGTAGGCGCCGGGGCTGGCTGGGTGTGACGGCCCTCACGTGGTCATTATGGTCTTTGTTTATCGCTGATTGGCGTTTTTGTTTGTTTTATCTCTGGCATTAGGTACCGGCCTTTCATATCCGGATTGGTGCGGCATTTGTGGGTGCTCACCATAATCGCCTTGCTTGATCGTAGTGAAAGGATCCAAGCATTCCAGTCTTTTTATATGTTTTGTTGTGAAAGGAGCTCGATCAATTTCATGGTTATCACTGATTTGTATAAAACTGCTTTCTATTACTGGGGCGATCGTGTAACGTTGTTTGGTTCCATAAGAATTCTGGTGAGGTATTTATCAGACTAAAATTGGGCCAAGGAAGTTTCTTTGCAGTTTTCCACCATGTAGT